CATGCACTGTGGCTCCAGGAATATGTTCCTTTTGCTCTTGTGTGGGAGCTGAGCCTCTTACCAGCTGCACTCTGGGAAGTTGCTGAGCCCATGCTGTGGCAGGTATTCCTAGCTAGTTTCCTGCTGACCAGCCCCTCCAACCGTTCCTAGGCCCCAGTCAAGTGCTCGGCTGCAGAGCAGGGCCTCTTAAATGAGCTGTTCCTCTGTGTGTTGTGAGCATGAGGACTGCCTGAGTAATTAGGGTTGCTGGGAAACCGAATCTGACTCTGTTTCCAGAACTTTTCTCACCTTTCTCAGGCCCTATGTTTGAATATACATATCTCCACATTAGGTGCCAGAAAATGTAGCCAGTCTTTCTTTGGACTGCCCAGCTCCCGAAAAATAGCTTGTAGACTTCTTATTAATTATGAAAGCTTGTTCTTAGCTTAGGTTTGTTCTCAGTTAGTTCTTGCAACTTAAACCATTTATATTAATCTACATTCTTCCATGTGACTCTTCTCTCTCTTCAGTACTTTATGTCTGACTTCCTCTGTGTCTGATGGGAAAATACCCCATGCCTCAGATTCTTTCCAGTGCTCCTATCTTTGACTAGAAGTCCTGCATATCCTCTCCTGCCTAGATGTTGCCATTCAGCTCTGTTTTAAACCAATCAGAAGGTGACTTAGGCAGGAAGGGAATGACAGGGACACATCTTCACACAGTGTGATCAGATTTCCCACATGTGCCATCTCCATTATCCAGACATCAGCTTTTGGGCATTCAGGCTGATTCTTTTTCTAGCTATTGGGACTAGAGCAGCAATGATCATAAGTGCATTTATCTGTTGTAGTGTATGCATTGTTTTCATGATATGCGGAGAAACGTATAGTTTGGTGAAATACTAATTTCTACTTTTCTTTTTGTTTTTTCGAGACAAGGTCTCTCTGTATTGTTTTGGAGGCTGTCCTGGAACTCACTCTGTAGACCAGGCTGGTCTTGAACTCACAGAGATCCACCTGCCTCTGCCTCCCGAGTGCTGGGATTAAAGGTGTGCGCCTCCAATGCCCAGCTTATTTTCTACTTTGGAGGCAAGCTCACACTGATTGCTTCTTAATTACAACAGTTTAATTCACCACCAATTATTAGTAAGTATTTGCTTTCCCACACATCCTTGATAGGGTTTGAGATTTTCAGCCTTGCATGTCAAGCTTTTCACCTGTTTTCATGTGTTTCAGCCCTACAGAAATCTGTTTTATGGTTTTTTTTAATGATTTATTTATATTATGCATACAGTGTTCTGGCATGCAGGCCAGAAGAGGGTATGAGATCTCATTATAGATGGTTGTGAGCCACCATGTGGTTGCTGGGAATTGAACTCAGGACCTCTGGAAGACTAGCCAGTGCTCTTAACCTCTGAGCCATCTCTTAAAGGTATGTGTTACAGCTCAGAAGGGAAAGGTATCTGATGTCAGGAGCCAAGGAATGCTACAAAGTCATACTTCGCAACAAACCACAACAGATTCATTGCCAGGCAAAACCCAGGACGGCGACAGCCTCTGCTCGGTGGGAGTCAGTAGAGAACTGAGCAAGAGACAGAGTTTATACAGCGTTTCTTAAGGGTGGAGCTTTCCAAGGTAAATTTTCCATGGTAGGGATTGAAGTTAATCCTGGGCTTTCTAGTCTGGAGAGCAGAGCTCAGCTGCCTGTGTCTGGCAGGGTTGAGTCTGGGCCTTATAACAGTTGGAGTGGTCTGTGGGCAGAGCCTGGCCTTTGGAGGTCCTCAGGGGTGGGGCCTAGACACTTGGCATGCCTAAAGTAACTTGAAAATGGCCAAAAATCTTTGTTATTGGCAATTTCCTCTCTATATGTGATGTACACCTTTATGTGTCTTTTTAGAAAACTTGTTTTATAATGCAGTGACTTCTGTTAGTGTTGTCCAAATGTGTGTGGCCATGTAGACAGTGTGGTCATCCTACTGGTGGCTCATTTCTGAGAAAAACATGACTCTTCATCTCCAAACGGTGTCAGTTGCCCATACCTTCTTAGCTAGGGGTGGCCTTCTTGAGGACCAATCCCATTCTGCCCAAAGTTTTGACTGACATGACCCAATGTGTTTGTGGGATTTTAAATTTTTATACATGCCTTGTAGAATTTTTAGGGGAAAATTGGGTTCCTTCTCAATAAGAATACTCCTTTTTCTAGTGTTCCTTTGTTCATTGGCCTTCTTTATGTTTAACATAGACAGTTATTATTCATGTAACTGCTAGAGTATAAAGTCAGTAAGAAATCAGTTCTTTCCAAATGATACTGATCTTAACTTACACAGGAAGAAAAAGAAAGCAAAAGAAAGAAAAAAACTAACCACTTCCTATGAATTCTATTTGGCTGGAGACTTGGGCCAGAGAACTCATCTTAAATTGAAACAGAAGAGTTGTACATTGTTAGTGATTTGGCAGTCACCTATTTCCAATATTTTCTATTGATTCCTTATGCATACCTGGCAAACAATGTAGCAGAGATGATGCATCCTTTACTAATTTGTATTGTACGACATGGAAACCTCAGGTTGATGATTGTTTTGGACCAAACTGATAAGTTTGGTGAGCCATCGAGGACATAAATATCACAATGGAAATTTGGCAGAAAGTGTTGGAACCTGGCATTATGCTCACCCTGCCGCCTGACAATGGGTGGGACACGAATATCGAATATCGGCATTCAGGCAGATACTTAGGCAGCTCAAAGGGCCCTGTGTTGCGTGGCCACGTCCTGGCTACGTCACGAATTATGGGGCTGTGTAATGACTCAGTGCACATGTGCAAGTTTCCCCTTTTAACTGAGCTCTTCCACATGTTCTGTGCGCGCTCTCTCTCTCCACCCCTTCTCCGCCCCTCTCTTCCCCTTCTTTCTCTCCCTCTTCCCCCTTTTCTTCTTCCCTTTCCCTTCAGTAAACTCTGCATGGGTTTGTTGAATCTCATGGCTTCATTTTCCATCTACTCTACTTATAACTTAAACAGAAAACAACAGAAAGTAGTTAGGGAAATTTTTAATAATGAGAGAGGAGAATATGTTTACTCCCTCCCCCCATGTGACTATTTGCCCAATTCATAATTGGTTTGGGGGTCTGGGCAGTTTAGAGAAAGGTAACTTCAATGCTGAGGTATACTAAAGGACAGAAATAAGAGAGTAAGCAGGACTCACGAGCGAGGGTACTCAAAGGTATCAGTTATATGGGGGACTTTGAAAGAAAGGATTTGGTTGCTAAGAGACACAGCATGAACAGAAGATTGAATGTTTGAACTGACAGGATTGTATTTGGTAAACCCTGCTAACTACACATGACATTTCCCAAAGCCATCTGATTTTAGAATTGGGTGCGCCCAATTTTTTAGAAGAGTGAAAACATTAAGAGAAAAATTCTCCTTGAACATTCCTTTGTGAACAGTTTGCCCTATTGCACGTGTACCACAAACGACTTCATTTCCCAGTTTCCCATATGTCCCATATGTTTTCCAAAAGGTATTTGAATACAATAAGGAGTTACTGAGGCATAATTAAAAGAACTAACTTGTTGCTATTTTTAAAGCGTAGATACATACGACACAAGGAAGGTAATTTTTCTAAGAATTGTACCCACGGGTTCCTAAGTTCATTGTTCAGAGACGTCTGTGTGCAGAGACCATACCAACTAGAGTTCCAGGGTGCTAAGTGTTCCCTGTGTTGCCTGCTTCACTCTTGTCTCAATGCTTAGTATTAATCTTATCACTTCCAGCAGCTCTCCTTGTTTGAACTTTTAAATTGCTTACATTTTTTCTTCTACCAAGTACTCAACAATCTTTACTTTCAAGTTCTCTAATGTGGAGAAGAATGAAGTTACAGTCTTGAATCTAATAGCACAGGAACTCTAGTTCCTGACTAAACCCTTGATCCCTGCTGAACCTTCCTGATACATGCCTCCTCTGTAGGTATTTATTCTGCAGTTTTGTCTTTTAAATGTCTACATAAATGATTCATTCAGCTTTGCATTTAATGTGCTCTAGATTGTTTTTATTTTCTAAAGAGAACTTTTTGCCTATTTTTCCATGTTTTTTCCAAAACATGTTCAAAATTCCAACAGAGGATCTGGATCTGGTTAGTTTTACTTACAACAAAGGTTCAACTTTTTTAAAACTCTAATTCTTGAAGTAGGCTCCTCATCTGGCTGTCATCAATGACTCTGAGTAATGTAACTTAACGCAGAAAGAATTTATTTCATCTCACAATTGAAGGGTACCGTCCATTAAATGCACGATGTGAAGGGGCTGGTCAAATCACACACAGTCAGAAATGGAGTGATGTGTAGTTATCTGTGTCTCAGTTGCCTGCTGCCCACTAATGTAATCCCTGTGTATTCACAAAGTGTTTCGCCTCGTGTGTGTGTGTGTGTGTGTGTGTGTGTGTGTGTGTGTGTGTGTGTGTGTGTTGTTTTGGTTGTGACTTGCCCCATAGGCTCATGTATTTGAAAGTTTAGTTCCTAGTTAGTGGAACTCATTAAAAAATATTAGAAGATGTGGCCTTGGTGTAGGAGGTATGTCACTGGGGTGGTCTTTGAGGTTTGAAAAGCGTATTCCCGGCACTGTCCATCTTTTTGTCTACTGCTTTTGTCAGGAGTAAAGCATACAGCTACTGTTCCATGCCTGTCTGCTTCCCATCATTATAATCATTGACTAATCCTCTAAAAGTGTAAAACAAGCCTTGATTAGATGCTTTCTTTTGTAATTGCTGCCTTGGTCATGAACTCTCATCTCAGCAGTAGAATAGTAACTGAGACTGGGCATCTGGCTTTCTTATAAGAACTCAAGATAGCATTCTAACTATTAATATTCCCAAATATTATTAATAACCCAAATATTAATAATTTAGGATTAATCTTTGTCTGCATAGTCACTTAGAAGTTTATTTAGAATCTTGAGTCCTCAATGATTCCGTATATCATCATCCTCTCATTTAAAGGTAACCATATAATATGTGCACTGTTTTAGGAGACAGTGACCTTTGAGGATGTGGCTGTGAACTTCACCTCAGGAGAGTGGGCTTTGTTGGATTCCAGTCAGAAGAAGCTCTACAGAGATGTGATGAAGGAGACATTTTTGAACCTGATCTCCATAGGTAATAACACAACCTGCTCCCGTTGCTTATTCAGAGAACAACCGTTTCCTGTTTATGTGTGCAGTGGTGGGATTTGAAGTCTTGAGTGGAATGTGGTGAATTTAGTGAGCATACCCATATCATCAGAGTCAGATTGCAACAGTTTTTTTAACCTTGAAGATGTTATAATGAATTCTTTGGGTTTATTCTAGAAAAAGGACTAGAACCAAATATTGAAGAGCACTACAAAGATTTCTGCAGAAATCTGAGGTAATTATATTCAATAGAAAGCAATTTATATCAAACATTTGAGATTGAAAGGACAACTGAGAACCTAGTAAATGGTCTAAATCTATCTAATTGCAAATTGAATCTAACCACAAATTCCTGTAACAGAGCATTGAATTATTTTTCAGTATTCGTGTAATCATCTGTGTAACCCATGAATATCACCAGGTGTGATGGAACTTTAATTTCCGACAGAGCTTTTCCAGTGCTTTCCTACACAAAACCTTCCCTTAATGTTTCAAATTACTTAATATCTTTCTATATACTCTTCTAAGGCTGTGAATATAAAGACTGTGTTTGTTCCCTTTCCTTTGCTGTGAGAGAAAGCAGCTCAGGTAGAGCTCATTTTTACTTACACTTCCTTGTCACATTCCTGTCAGAAAGGGAAGCAGGGCAGGAGCTCCAGCCTGGTAGGAACTGAAGCACAGGTGTATTCTTAGTCCTTACTCAGCAACCTTCCATCTTCAACCCTGGCCCACCTCTTTAGGGGATAACACCCATAGGAATCAGGGAAGGTCTCCACAGAAGTATCTAAATGTCAGTTTGGTAGAACCATTTTCTCCTTTGCTCTTCCTTCTTCTAAGATGTGTGAACGTGCTTGAGTCAAGTTGATGAAAACTAACCAAAACCCTTGACCTCTTGTCAACAATACACATAAATCCCACACTATTAATCCAGAACCTTTCATGGCATGTTTCCCCCTAAATACTCTTTGTGGTGTTTATTTGTTTGTTTGGTTTGTTGTTTTGTTTGTTTTTTGAAACAGGGTTTCTCAGTGTAACAGCTCCGGCTGTCCTGAAACTAGTTCTGTAGACCAGACTGGCCTCGAACTCACAGATAGTCACCTGCGTCTGCCTCCTAAGTGCTGATATTAAAGGCTTGTGCCACCACCATCTGACAACCCCTAAATACTCTTAATCTCACAATATAAATCATAACATAACATTAGAAAACATAAGTTCTTACTATAATGCTGTAGCCCTACTTCGTGGTGGCGAGTCTATGTTAACCCATGTTTGTGCCTGAGAGGGGGAGTATGGATTGAGAAATTGTGGGTAAAGATACTAAGTATGGATTGAGAAATTGTGGGTAACGATACTAAGGAAGAGAGAGAGTGAGTGTGTTCATAGGGCAGTCCAGTTTATTCTTCGACATTCTTAAATGCCCCAACCAAAAAGAGGGACATGGCAAAAAGACATCTTTACCAAGATACAAGGAAAAAACAAACCTTCCTTAATTCCCCAAACATTTGGTAACCACACTTTAGGCTAAATTTCTTATTATCTGGCCTTGAGGGTTAAGAGTAACCACCCCTCAAAGCAAGTCTCTTGTTATTTAGAGAAGACATCCATGACCAAGACCTAACATCTTACAGTAGTCACACCTTAGGCCTTTAGGTCTTATGACTTTAACCTTGGAAGAGTAAGGATAGTTTTGAACTCTATAACCTTAAGCCAAGATGAAGCAGAGCCATCTCTCTGGGCCCTGCCAATATAAAATATCACAGGAACTCCCCCAGTAGAGCCTTTGAGGTACCTTCTACCATCCCTAAAAATGTAGAAGTCGGGCTTCATCATTTACATTATTGTCAGTGTTCCTGCCCTCTGAGCTCCTGGACAGTTCATTATCCTCTGAACTCAGACTAAGGTCCTCTTGTCTAAGTTTCCAGACATTTTCACAGTCCTCATAAAAATCACAGGGTCATCTCTGTCACAGAACTTGGTAACTGACTTCTGGGTGAGAGTGCATTCCATTCCTGTGATAATCACCATGACCAAAGTCATCTTTGGGTACATTTATTGGCTTAAACTTCCATGTTACAATCCAGCAAGGAAAGTTAGGGCAGGAGCTCAGAATAGGTAGGAACCTGGAGGCTGTAATTGAACTGGAAACCATGGAGAATGCTGCTTATTAGTTTGCTCCTCATGGATTACTGAGGTACTTTTCTTATAAAACTTACCCACCTGTCTAAGGACCTTCCAGAGTGGGCTAAGTCCTCCCTCATAAATCAGGAATGGGAAAATTCTCCCAAAGATTTCTTTATAGGCCAGTGTTTTTTGAGTAATTTTCTCAATTAAAGGTTCCTATGCTCTGATGACCCTAGATGTTTCTAGTTGATTACAAACTAGCCAACACAGGTTGAGTAATTAGAATGCCAAAATGCCAGTGTTCCGCACCTTTTGTGATTATTATGATTGTCTCTTCATGCCAAGTCCTGTGCCTGAGTGTCTATTCCTTTTATATCCATACATTATTTTTAAGTGTATGCATATGTATACTTTGTAAACTGCCTATGTGAAAGAGATTTGTGGAAGTCTGTAATAGATCCTTCAACTCAAGACTAACGGGAATTTGTGAGTCCTCCATATGCACACTGATCATAAAATTCTGGTCTACTGGAAGAGCAAGAATTTTTCTTAACCTACAAGACTGTGATACTGTTCCTTCATAATTTGTTTGTTTGGTTTTTGCATTTTGGTTTTGGTTTCTAGAGACAGGGTTTCTCTTTGTAGCCCTAGCTGCCCTGGGATTAGCTCTGTAGGCCAGGTTGGCATTGAACCCACAGAGATCTGCCTGCCTCTCCCAAGTGCTGGGATTAAAGGCATGTGCCACCACCATCCTGCCACCTTCAAAGTTCTTAATGAAGCATAGTCAACACTCTGTTTCTTTCCACATGATGGGTTTTACAAGTGGTTACATTATCCTCAATATTGGAGGCATTCTTCTAGGACCTCCCTAATAGTAAAGCTGTAATGGACCACATGAACCAGGCTTCAACATTTCCCTTGTTTACAGTAATTGTCTTCTAATTTCTTGCAGAACTCAGTTGGTTGAGAAAGACTGGGGATATGAATATAATAGGCAGTGGGATGACAACCTTCAAACAATTCCAAAGAGTATTGTTAATGAAGACATGCCTCCTGCAATAGGATATGAAAGCCATTTGCATGTAAGAAACATCATTGATCATTCATCCTCACTTGTATATCTCAGAAACCAAACTAGAGGGAAACCATCACAATGTAAAGAAGCTTTTATACATCAGAAACATTCGGAAACTATCAATCATTCTGAATCACTTCAGGTGTTTGAAACTTCTCCTGGAGAGAAACCTTATAAGACTCAGCAATGTAAGGAAGACTCTAGGAGTGCCCCTTCTAATCAGCCTCACAAGAGAACACAATGTGGAGATGAACTCAATGAGAAAATATGTAGATATACATATAGCCCAAAAGGTGACAGAATCCATACAGAAGTGAAATCATTTGTTCATAACCACAGTGAAGAAGCCTTCAGTGATTCCAGTGACCTTATCATTGCTGAAAAAAGTCATACTGGAGAGAAAAAACACATTTGTAAGCAATGTGGGAAAACATTTAAATATGCTTCCTCTTTTGAGAAACATAAAATAACGCATACTGGAGAGAAGCCCTATGCATGTAAGCATTGTGGAAAAAGCTTCACCAGTTCTAGTTGGTGCAGCACTCATGAGAGGGGTCATAATGGAGAAAAGCCTTACATGTGTAAGCACTGTGGGAAAACCTTCAGAAGTTCCAGTTATTGTAACATCCATGAAAGAAGTCATACTGGAGAAAAACCTTATGCATGTAAACACTGTGGCAAAACCTTTGCCATTTTGAGGTCTCGTAACAGCCATGAGAAAATTCACACTGGAGAGAAGATATATGCATGTAAGTGTTGTGGAAAAAACTTCACCAGCCCCACATCCTGTAGCATTCATGAAAGAATTCACACTGGAGAGAAACCTTATACATGTAAGCACTGTGGCAAAACCTTTGCCAGTTTGACTGGGTGTATCACTCATGAAAGAAATCACACTGGAGAGAAGCCTTACACATGTAAGCATTGTGGGAAAGCCTTCAACAATTCCAGTTATCGTAATGTTCATGAAAGAATTCATACTGGAGAGAAACCTTATGCATGTAAGCACTGTGGCAAAACATTTGTCATTTTGGGTTCTCTTGTCACTCATGAAAGAAGTCACACTGGAGAGAAGCCTTACACATGTAAGCATTGTGGAAAATCCTTCTCACAAGCCAGTTACCGGAACATTCATGAAAGAATTCACACTGGAGAGCAACCTTATGAATGTAAGTACTGTGGCAAAACCTTTGCCATTTCGAGTTCTCGTAACACGCATGAGAAACTTCACACTGGAGAGAAGCCTTATGCATGTAAGCATTGTGGAAAAGCCTTCATCAGTTCTATTTGGTGTAATGCCCATGAACGGGGTCACACTGGGGAGAAACCTTATGCGTGTAAGCACTGTGGGAAAATGTTTGCCATTTTGAGTTCACGTAACACTCATGAAAAGCTTCACACTGGAGAGAAGCCTTATGCATGTAAGCACTGTGGAAAAGCCTTCACGAGTTCTGGTTATCGTAACAAGCATGAAAGGGGTCACGCTGGAGAGAAGCCTTGATCGTGTAAACATCGTAGCGAAACCTTTGCCCATTTCAGTTGGTGTAACTCTTATGAAAGAATTTACACTGGAGGGAAGCCTTATGCATGTAAGATTTGTGGAAAATTCTTCATCGGGGATGCTGTTACTTCCTTTCATCAAATGTCCACTGAGGTGAATGGACATTAGGAAAGCCTCACCATTGCCACTGGGCTTGAATTCAGTGTAGACGCTGAGGTGTATGGTGTTGGGCCCATTCAACAGTCACTTGTACTGATTTTAGGCCCATAAGGAGGACACCTTTATCCACAAGCAGGGAAGAGTGGGTGTGTCCAGGGCTCCCAGAATCTTGAGTTCTTATTGTTCATGCTTTGACGTTCCCCTGGCAGTGTGCAGACAGGAGTGCTACGCAGTCGTGCACTGGAACTGTGTGCAAGGCAGGCTCCTGTGCACACGGCCTCTAGACCTGTTCTGTCCCCGGGGCACTACTGTGTCCCAGGCCGCTTTCTTGCTGTGGTGTAAAGGAACCTGGAACCTACACCTTTCCAGAACTTGGAGAGCTGCCAGGGTTGCAACACTGAGTTCAGAGTGTCACGTGAAGAAGGTCATGGGCGGTGTGCTCTTATGATAGACTTCCTTAGACCTATGTCTGTACTGCCTTAGTGTTCCTGTCATCACCTTTTTTTTTTTTTTTTTTTTTTTTTTTTCCGAGACGGGGTTTCTCTGTGGCTTTGGAGGCTGTCCTGGAACTAGCTCTTGTAGACCAGGCTGGCCTCGAACTCACAGAGATCCGCCTGCCTCTGCCTCCCAAGTGCTGGGATTAAAGGCGTGCGCCACCAACGCCCGGCCTGTCATCACCTTTTGATCTTATCTTTTGCTTAGTACTGAACCCTAAGCCATGCCTAACGAAGTAAACACAGGCCTTGGCATTAGGCGGCATTCCCCAAGCAAAACTCCTCATTGGGTGTGTGTTGTATTCAAACGCGGTGTTTTTAAAATAATGATATGGAGCTAGTTGGTGGTGGCACACACCTTTAATCCCAGCACTGGTGAGGCAGAGGCAGGCAGATCTCTGAGTTTGAGACTAGCCTTGTCTACAAGAGCTAGTTCCAGGACAGCCTCCAAAGCCACAGAGAAACCCTGTCTCAAAAAACCAAACATAAATGAATGAATAAATAAATAAATAAAATGATGATCTGGGAGTATTGTCTATTTCCCTCTGTGTGAGTGGGCCAAAATCCCTGGTTGCTGAGGAAGAGAATTTTTAATTAGGTTGGTTTTTGTTTGTTTGTTTGTTTGTTTTGCTTTGTTTTTTTCACTAAGCATTTCTGCAGCAAAGGGTTTGGGTTTAGATTGTTGTCTGTTTTGCTCTTGGCTTCTCCAAGTAGAGGAAATTGCATGGAGGAGTACTTGATCAGTCATTAATCATTTTCCAGGATGAACTTCTTTGGAGGCAAAAAAATAGTATTTTCATTTTGTTAGATTTTAGGGTACAGAATATTGCAAAGATACCATAATCTGACCACAGCAGACAACACTGGTCATTAACACATATAGCAAGTGGCAACACATTTCCTGCTGTGCCGTGGAAGAAATGAGCCCAACACCTTTACAGGCGTGGATTGGAGATGCGGAAGTTGAATCGGCTTCCTGTACTAAGACCTGCCATGCAGTCTCTCCTTTTTGAAATCATTTTCTGAAAGGAGAAAGGCTGTCTTGGGAAACAGCCTTTCTCAGCAGATTTTTCTCTCTGTCTGGTTAATGGTTGAAAATTTCACACCTTCCTCCATCCCTCTTGTGGGTTTTAAATGGTCAACACACCCAGCTGTGATAATCTTTTTCATTACACTTTGGAATTCCTCAGGAGGGAAGTTGCTTGGCTAGAAGGATGGTCATTTGAAACATGACTAAGGTTAGTCAAAACAGTCCCTCTAATATGAAAAACATCTTTGATGGTCATGTTTAGAGACCAAATTTGATATACTTGTGAATAAGATATTCGTGAATTTTGCTGTTTACTTCTGTTAAGTGGACAGTGTGAATAAGGGCTGGGAAAGACAGCTCAGTGTTTAAGAGCACAGACTCTCCTTCTGAGGATGACAGCATGCACATGGTGTCTCACAACAGTCTGTTTCTCCAGTTCTAGGGGATATAGTACCATCTTCTGGCTTTCCAGTGTGCCAGTCACATATGTACATGCAAGAAAAACATCCATACACAACAAATGAAATAAATATTAATGTGTGTGGGAGTGAATTTATTACTTTGGAGAATATCATGGTGTTGAAGGAATCATTTCAAAACCCTGGAAGCAATAGCAGGCATGATGGGTCCCCATGTTAAATCCTTTGGTCTATCTCGATCTCCACTAGAGAATGAACATTGTTGGTCTCTTTCTTAGCAGCCTGTGTGATCTGGATGCTTGAAAGTATTTCCTGTAGTGACTGGAGACTTTGTTCATGACCTTAGTAAACAAAAACCTTTCCTGAAGTTTAAGAGTTGCTTTTCATAGGACAGGAACTCAAACAGGGTAGGATTTTGGAGGCTAGAACTGATGCAGAGGCCAAGGAGGGTGCTGCTCACTGGTTTTCTTGTCCTGACTTGCACAGCTGCTTTCTTACAGAACCCGGGACCACTTTCTGAGGGATGGCATAACACACTGTGGGCTGGGTCCTGTCCCCATTGATCACCAATTGAGAAAATACCTTACAGCTGGGTCTCATGGAGGCATTTCCTTAACCGAGGCGCCTTCATCTCTGATGACTCTAGCTTGTGTTAGTTTGACACAAAAGCAGCCAGAACAACTGGCCCTTGTCATCTTGACACTCAAACACTTCAATATTAAGCCATAACTATTCCTTTCATACTCATCTCTAAGATCTCACATTAAATCACAAATAATTTTAAAAGTTTCACAGTCTTAACAAATTCAAACCCATTAAAATTTCAGTGTCTTTCCAATGTCCAATCTTGATTCAGGCCCGAATTGGCAAAAGACACGGATTGCTGCCCCCAGTCTTCTTGGTTTGCTGGGTTCACGATCAACCAGCATCAGCTTGGCCCAACCTGACCTGAGTTGGTGGAGGACACAGATGGCTTCCCCCAGACTTCTTGGTCCACTGGGCACAATTAACCAGGAAACTGGCTGGTTACCCTCATACCAAGTGCTGACTGAGGTTTCTAGGGCTGGGCATGGGAGAGAAGAAAGGCAACAGCTCTGAGCCATGCCTTGTGACTTGGACACACAGGACCCAACGAATTGCCACCCTACCTAGAACCCCAGTGCTGGATAATGCAGCACCATTATGAGAGGACAGGGTAGGGAGGTGGAGGGCAGGGCTGGGGAGAGGTGAATCTGGAGAAGCGAGTGGTTGAGCAATGGGCTCTCATGAATGACCTGGTGATGTCGGGACCTTGGCTATGGGCAAGGGCCTGGTTTTGGTCTAGGGCCCTCAAACGGCTGAAGGGGTATGTGCTGATATCTGTGACTCCATCGCTGATGGGGTCTACAAGGTCCTGTGTCTGGGGTCCTGTTGTTATCTGAGGGCCATGCTAATGCAGGGACCACCTGGGAAGATAGTGACATACTGGCCCAGGCTGCTGCTGAGGACCATATCTGGGTTTGTGTTGACATTCCTTGCCCAAATTGGTGTCCACGGGCTTGCTACACTGCTGGGACCAGGCCATTTGGGCAGCCAGTAGTGTCAACTCATCCAGACCAGGGCTGTGGCCAAGGGCTATGTTGGTCCATGGCCCTGTCACAGGCAGGTCTGTGTTGATGTGTGTACCTCCTCAGACTATCAGAGACAGAATGCCAGGAATCTGGGCCACCACTTGGGTTCATGTTGATGTCTGAGAGCCATGCTGCCCCGGGGGCCATACTGGTCTGAGTGGCTGTGCTGTCAACTGGGACAGAGGTGACATCTGGGCCCTGGCTGCTGCCTACGGCCATGTCTGGGTCTGTGGTCCTACCACAGCCAGGCTCTACACAGTTGCCACCTGTGGCCATGACAATATCTGAGGACCATGCAGCTACCAGGGACATGCTGATCTGAGTGGCCTACACTGTCACCCAAAGACATGGTATTATCTGGGACAGGTCTCCTGCCAAGGACCATGTCTGCGTCAGTGACCCTATAGCAGCCAGAGTCTGAATTGATGTCCATGGCTCATGTTACCTCTGAGAGCTCTGCAGATGCCCAGAGTCTGGTCAGCCAACCCAAGACCGAGTTGGTGCCTGAGAGTCATGCTGCCACTAGGGCCATATTGATCAGGGAGGTCTGTGCTGCCTTGATGACATCTAGGTCTGAGCTGCTGCCAGTGGCCATGTCTGCATCCCTGGTCCTGCCACAGCTGTCATCTGTGATGATCTCCATGACCCTTGTTAGCACAGGGGCTCATTGGTGCCAAGCCTGTTCAGCCAAACCCACCCTTCACTGTTCCTGAGATGTCTGGTCCCACCCTCACTGGATACTGCAGCAGCAGAGCTGGCCCCACCCCGTTAGAGGAGCTGGCCCCTGTCCTCTGGAAAGATAACTCCCACCCCTCACCATAGCAGCACACTAACTAGATCTATTTGGGGATGCAGATAAGACAATTCTGAGGGTGTGACAGCAGGAGAGCTGGATGAGAGAAAGATGCCGGCCTGTACCCCCATCATTATCTCCTGTGGCACGTCAAAGAGCTGGCCTCTGGATCATGAGAGAGAGAACCAACCCTGCCCCTAACCTTGCACCCGACCTGGACACTAAAGCTGACACTAGTTAGGGGTGTAGGTGAGCCAGCCCTGAGGACAAGATAGCAGGAGAACTGATCCCCACCTCCTTCATATGCCCCTTACAACAATTGACAAAAATGGCCTTGCATCTTGCCTGGGCAAAACAGTAGAGCTGGACTCGGTGATGTGTGAGTGACCTGGATCTGAGGACCTGAGAGCAGAATTGGCCTGTTCTGTTGTGTGATATTTTGTTTGTGTTCTGACAAATAAAGCTGACAAATAAAACTCACCTGGAGATCAGAGGGTGGAGCTAGCCACTAGTTAACTATATAGAATCTGGGCAGTGGTGGCACACACCTTTAATCCCAGCACTCATGGCTCATGCCTTTATTCCTAGCATTTGGGAGATAGACACAGGAAATGATAAGGTGGGGTGGAGACAAGCCCTCTTGGGTGCAGGAAGGAGACGGGTAGGAAGCAACTAGCTCTGGTTACATGTTAATCACAGCTGACTCTTCAGTCCCAGCTAATCAGAACCATGGAATCTTAATTCAAAATAGCAATTGGCCCTGATAGAGTCTTTAAAGCTTCCTTCTGAAACTTTGCAATCAAGGTGTCCAACCTCTGCTCTCAACATCTTCATCTTCCAATTCCCACAGAACATCCCACAGTGCTCTTAACAATCAGTGACTTTTCTAGCTCAGAGTTCCAAAGTCCTTCCACAAGCCTTCCCCAAAACATGGTCAAGTCTGTTACACTTGCTGGTACAAATAGGACTTAGGGTTTCTATTGCTGCAATGAAACACCATGACAAAAGAGTAGATTGGGGAGGAACGGCCTTGTTTGGCTCATGCTTCCACACTGCTCTTCATCACCGAAGGAAGTCAGGACAGGAATTCAAGCAGGCAGGATCTTGGAGGCAGGAACTTATGCAGAGGCCATGGAGGGTGCTGCTTACTGGTTTGCTCCTG